ATAGTCACCGACGACCGACGACTACCATCGATTTGGATTCACCGGCAATCACCGACCGTTGACTCTTTACTTCACCCTCACCGACGGTAAAGAAGATATGTTTCTGACAAAGAATATGAGTAGATCTACTTAGATCTGATGAAAATCTACATCAGATCTAAGTTTTTTCATCAGATCTAAGTAGAGCTACATCATATTTGGCTAGATCTAAACAAAAAATAGTTGCCGGAGTATAATCCTCTCTCTATATCCGCCTTTCTCCTTCGATCTCTTTTTTTTTCTACATTTTCTCTGCTATACACTTCTTTTTTTCTGTTTTAATGGAGAAAATTTTCAAATTCTGAATAAATTGTTTTCGAGTTTTAGTTACAAGCGGTAAAAACTGTAAAATTTTGCAGTTTCAAATTTTTTTGGTGCTGGAATGAATCATGGTATAAAACTGTAAAATTTTATAGTTTCATAACATTCTTTAGAATTGTAAAATTTTACAATTTCATAACATGTTTTTCAGTTTGATTAATAAGGATAAATGCTTAATAGATTTTTTCTTTGAAACTGTAACATTTTACAGTTTCAAAACTTACTTTTCAGTTTGATCAATATTGGAGATTATTTGCTTAAACCTTACAAAAATTAAAAAATAGCATATGTTTTTCCAATTGTTACTGTTTTTTGTCGTTTCATTTCTTTTTCTTTTAATTTATCAATATTTAGCACATTTTGCTATGTTTTTTCGCTCTAATTTCTTCATTTATTCTTTTTTTTTCCAGCAATATTCTAAACATTCCGGTGAGTCTTTAGTGATGTTCTTAATGTCCTGTGAACGTTCTGAACATTCCGGTGACTTCCATTAACGTTCTTAACACTCCGGTGAACTTTCGGCGATACTCCGGCGACTTCCCGGTGATGTTGAACATTCCGAAGAGTCTCCGGTGACCGTTTGATGGAAGTCCAACGATAGTAAGATGTAACAGTGTTTGTAAATTAAAAAAAAAATAGAATTTTTTGGTAACAATTAAAAATGTATATGACTAATTGGTGTAAGTGTTTTGTTTGAGGATTAGATAGGTCTTGAGCTTTGTATATGAAACTTATTGGTAAATTCCCCAAAATAAATAAATTAATTTGGTAATCATAACCATATAATTTTACTATGTTTATTTTAAAAAAACAATGATCTATTTTTAAAATTATATTTGTTATTTATTTATTTGAAGACGTGATAAAATTGTATAATTATTATCAAATAATTTAATTTTTCATGATTGATTCAATCATAAAGAGTTTAAAAATGACTGAATCCAAAAATAAAAAATAAACCTACAAGCTTAACAACACATTCTAATCTTTATGTCCATCCAATCCTCTCTTCCTTGAGAGAGGTTGGTTCATTTTTTAAGTTGGTTTGAAGAGAAGTTGTTAATAATGGAAAGTAGACATATTTTGGGAAGATTTACCGGTTGGACTTGCCTTCATTTCCCAAACAATCTGAAAATGTATTTTAGGTGAGAAAATGACATGTACATAGAGAAAATCCCAAGATATGTGTTGTCAGTTTCCTCACTTTCACATGCAATGTAGGAAAAATACCAGATCAAATCACTGAATTTTTGGTACTGGGGATCTATATATATAATCTAGGGTCATTGTACAAGGACACAATCACTTGAATGGGATAGAGGACTTTCCATTATAGGAAAAGCAACCCTACTTGTGCCCTTTGACATGGTCTAGAAGGACATCATGAGCTCCACTTTAAAGTTTTTCTAGATCAATCTTACCAGCCAATTGGCAAATTCAATGTGTTTGCTGCTTGTATTTTTTAGTTAATTATACTTGAGGTTCTTAAATTTCAGTAAATTTTTTTCAATTTTCATCTATAATATTTTTAAATTTTCCTACTTTACTTAGGTAGTTAACATCCGTTCATTTTTATTATGTAGTGTTGCATTGATTGTCATGTGATATTATAAAATATTATTATTATACAAATTTAGATAAATTACACTATATCTCTCTTTTAATTATTTTTCTACTTTGATCCCTAACGTTTTTGATTTTATCTAATTTGCTCTATTGGCCAAAGTCCATCAAAAATTGGACAAATGGCAACCACGGTAGCCCCAAGTTGAATCCCACACTCTACTGTCTCTTTTACTTCCTTAGATCTACTGTAATGACCACTGAATTTGAGAGAGAAATGTTCAATGGTGTCAAAAGAGCTATGGTAATGGTTTTGAGATGGTGGTAGCAGTGAGGACGAGAAGTAGGGCGGAGTAGATAATGGTATTGTTCAATTGCTAGTGATGGTGGATGGCCAATGAGGATTTGTCTCAAATTGAAAAAAATTGATTAGATTGCATTGAACCAAATCTTTTTATTGATGCGGTTTGCTGAGAAAAACAGTTTATATTAGTGCTCAAAATAATATAATTGACATTATCAATTTGATATATTTTTTTTACCTAAATACGGACCGTACTGAACTGATTGCCTCCCTACTTATAAAAGAGTATATTGGAAAGGTGCTATTGGGGGGCTCAAATGGGGTACTTCAGTTGTACTATTCATTTTGTGGAGTTCACTAGGAACCATCATCCAATCATTTTGATCATAGATGAACTGGTATTTTGCATTAATGAGTTGCTTGGCCTTTTTTTTAATAAATGAGTTGCTTGATTAGTCTTACAAAATAAGCAATTTGGATAATTGAGATGACCCTTACATGGGTCACCTGAGTCCCAACAATACTCTCTTATAATAAATCCATCCATGGAGAATAAATTCAAGATACTTACAGTCACTCACAAACCATATTGTCAATTAAAATTAGAGAGTGAAATTAAACCTAAGACTTTTGAATTCATAATTCATCTCAAGCCAAATATTTTTTACCATTCCTTCAGCCCTCATTTCTGTATCTCATATCCGAACATATTCTGAGGGAATAGCATAAAAATACCAACAGCACGACAAGATCAGCCAGTGGGATTTCAAATGGGTACATTCACTGAAAAATGAGACTCAACATAAAGGAATAATCTAAAAAAACAAAAAAGTCATTTTCATGCTTTGATTTTTCAAAAGTGAAGGCACAAAGAACAGTAGCCAATGGTGCAATTCTGCTGAAAAATGGGATTTAAAGTAATTTTAATGAACTGACATTATTTAAATAGCAGTGAAATTCCACATTCCAATGGAAAACTGTGAATTTGAAGCAAACATGTTTTGAATTTGAATAGTTCCCAATTTTTTTGATATTCATATTTCTTGTGAAAAGATATCAAGTCAGGGTAAAACAGAGCACCTCAATCAATGGGTGTAATTGATAATGGCCACCCATTGAAAATTTAGGACCACGCGATTGGATGACTCGTCTGCTAGACCAAGCAAACAAGATGGTAACCTTTTCCTGTTTATCTTACTATAAAATTTTGATATGAGGAGAAATAAAAGCTAATGGAAAATATTTTTTATAATTAATGAAAAATAAAACTCATTTAGGTAAAAAATATTTTTTTTTTTTAAAAGATAAAAGACTTCATAAAATTTTGTCAAAATCACCGTACCATTATTTTTCCGTAACCACCACCTCTAATATAATCACTAATACATTACCTTCAAAGTAAAAACCAAAAATAGGAAAACATTTTGTAGAAAAATCCTATACATTTTTCATAAATATTTTTGGTAGAAAATGTTTTCTTAAAAACTGTGTTATGCTGAAACAGACAGAGATCTCATGCCACAAATATCAACTACTAATACATTAATATTAGGTTTGCAATCAAAGATGAGATTTTTTTTTTCTTTTAAAATGTTTTCCGCCGAAACAGATATCTCATAACACAAAGATCAAAGTCCAAAAATCATTTCTCCACCAGCTGGAAATTTGTTCCATTTCAAGATTAATAAAGAGAAATTTGTCCAATGGATTAACAATCATCAGCCCACATGATGTTCCCTGCATAACATCACCCTCAAAATTGCATTCACAGTCATACCATCATAGTGTTCAAATGCTTGCTTCATATTTAAAAACACAAAAAACAAAAACAAAAAATTAAATGAAAACATGAACACAAAAGAGTGAGTAGGGGTGTGTTTGATCGAGGGATTAGGAGGGGACTATTTACTATTCGGATTGTTTATCCGAAATAGTGAATAGTCCCATATGGGGGCTTATATTATCCCGAGGGGTGTGGAATAGTTTTGGGGGGACAATTTACTGTTGGGATTAGGTGATAAAATGACCATTTTGACCCTCTACTATTTAATTATGTATTATATTTAGTAAAATTTAATAAAATTTAAATGTCTCAATTTAAAAGTAAAATAATTTTATTTAACTTCTTATTGATGCTTTATTTATTTAATTTTTTAAAATAATTTTTTATTGATATTTTATTTTAAAATTTTGTTTATATTTTATTTAATTTCATTATTTAAATGTTAATAGATATTTTATTTAATTTCATTGTTTAATTATTATTATTTTTAAAAACAAATTTATTTAAAATTTTAATTAAAAAAATAACATATATTTTTATTGATATTTTATTTATTTTATTTAAAAAATAAATTTATTTAATTGTGTAAAAAATAAAATAAAATACATTTTTATTTAATTTAGCTAAAAATAATTAAAATATTAAAGATATGTTTAATATTGTTATTACTTAGTAAATAATTGAAAAATAGTAAAATAGTCTTTTGTTTATTTATCCTATTCAGTCCGTCCAACCAAACGTTGGATTCAATAAAAATAATCATTTCCAAACATCTAATTCAATGAAAAAACAAACACAGCATACATATCCAATCCAACCAAATATCCAATCCAACCAAATAGTCCGGAAATTCACAGTCCAAGGATTCAAGTCCAATGGATTCTAATCCCCTTATCCAATCCGTCCAATCAAACACACCCAAAAGTGTATCTGAATTAGACTCCAATCTCATCAGTGAAAGGAATGGACTAGATTCTGAAAATTGAATACTACATGTAATGCTCATGAATATACTCTAAATTGGAAATAAACAAAGATATGATATAGAAGAGAAGATAACAATGAACCCACAAACCAGAATCAGCAGCAAAATGCTGCCATCTTCTGGCCCTGATTATGGCTGTCTCTATACATACAATTACCTGAAACCTACTCGTCGTTTTCTCTACCAATTTATTTTGCAAACTCAAATTATATGATTTAACAATTTCAAATAAATATGGAGAGGGACTTTCTGTTCTTTACCCCTTTCGATTCAAATTACCACTTCTCTGTTTCTTCATCAACAATTGACAGTAGCATGCCGACACAAATGCAGTTGATCTCTTCTTTGAACAATGTCTTTTGGTGATTGGAGGCCAGCAAAGAACTAATTGGTGAGGCAATAGAAGCAATGAAAGCTAAGCTAATGTGACTGATAATTTTGTGCTCGGTTTTGAGGAAGGTTAGAGGAAAATTCTTAAAAGAATCAATAGAAAGGTGGTGGTGGGGGAGATGCATATGGAACCCCGAAGATTGGTGGCAATGGCCCCTCGTATGCGGGAGTAGGAGGTGGTGGTGGTGGGTGTTCACATGGGACTGGAGCTGGTGGTGGTGATGGTGGAGGAGGAGAGTGGTAGTGAATTGGGGGTGGGGGTGGAGAACTATAGTGAATTGGGGGAGGTGGGGAAGGTGGAGGTGGAGAAGCATACACAGGTGGTGGTGGTGGAGGTGATGGTGGTGGCAAGTAATGAATTGATGGTGAGGGTGATGGTGAGGGGGGTGGTGGTGGGGGTGAGTACTCTACACAAGGTGGAGGAGGAGGTGGTGGTGGTGGTTCTATACAAGGTGGTGGAGATGGTGGTGGTGGTGAATGAATTGGGGGAGGCGGAGAATGGACAGTAGGCGGTGGTGGTGGTGATGAATAGGCATAAACATGCGGTGGTGGTGGTGAGTGTGGTGGCGGAGGTGGTGATGAATAGTGTGGAGGCGGTGGCGAATTATAATAATAGGGAATAGGAGGAGGTGGAGAATATGAGGGAGGAGGTGGAGGTGGTGGTGAATTTGGCGGTGGAGGTGGTGGGGAGTGGATGCAATAAGGTGGGAGAGGTGGAGACAATGTTGCTGGAGGAGGTGATGGTGGAGGTGGAGAAGGTGGAGGAGGAGATGGCGGCGGTGGGGGAGAATCGGCGGTTGGCGGCGGCAGCAGTGGTGGTTTTGGGGTGCGAGTTTTTTTTTTTAATAAAAAATTTAGAAAATTCATATTGAGATATTGAAGCTCTCATAAGCCTTAGGGTTAAAAATCCCCTTTTGCTTAATATATAGTATAGATTAAGATTTTTTATAAAAATAATTTAATAATCTTATCACTAACCATAGAAGTTACAAAGGATACTGCAGTAACTATTGGTGGGGGAGGAGGTGGGGGAGGAGAGGGTGGTGGGGAAGGAGGTGAAAAAACCGGTGGTGGTGGTGGAGACGAAGGCACCACCGGTGACGGAACAAAAGGCTTACACCTAAAAACACTACAATCCACAGCAGGCTTCGACAAAAACCGCCGACACTGCGCCGGCGACCTCTGCGCAGGCCTCGAGGGCAAACAATTCCTCCGATCATCAAAACCAGGCAAGCTCAAACACACCGGAGCCTCACCAGTAAAGAAATTATAAGAAAACGTAAAGTTATCAAGTCTTGGAAGCTTACATATACTCGCCGGAACACTCCCAGAAAGCATATTATGCGCCACATTAAGCTGCTCCAACTTCACCATTCCCGCAATCGTCTCCGGCAACGACCCCATCAACTCATTGAAACTGACATCAAACACTGTCAATTCCTTCAACAACCCAATCTCCGGAGGCAAACACGACCTCAACCCATTCTCCATCAGTATAATCTCGTTTAAAGTCCTCGACATGTTCCCCAGACTAGCCGGAACACATCCTCGAAACTTGTTATTCGCCACCACAATCACCGACACCGGCGAGTTCCCGAAGTTATCTGGCAACTCGAATTGGAACCGATTGTGGTTGATGAATATAGCATCTAAATCTTTGTCGAAGAGTTTGTTTGGTACATTGCCTTCAAACTCGTTGAATCGAAGATCTAAGAACTTCAAAACCGGCAATTTCAGTACAACCAGAGGGAATTTTCCGGCGAAACGATTGTTGCTCAGATCGAGCTCGTAGAGAAGCTTCAAGTTCTTGAATTTGTGAGGCACAGTTCCACAAAACCGATTCGAATTTATGTGAAACAATGCGAGATCAGTGAGAAGTCCCAACTCCTCCGGGAGGTACCCAGCGATGTCCCCATGATTGAGATCGATTCCAGCGACGGTTTTAATCGAGTGGTTGTCGAGCGCTTGAGCACAGTAAACTCCAGTGTAGTGACACACATCAGATCCGACCCAATTTCCGGTGAAATTTTGAGGATCGGAGAGTATAGCTTCTTTCCAAGCTTGAAGTGCAATGTAAGCGTTTCGGAGACGAGGGTTTTCGAAAACCAGAGACGAATCAATCGTTACGTTCTCGCCTCTGTCGCCGAACTCGTCTCTGTAGTAGAGTAACTGGCGTTGCTTGATGTATAATGATTCGGTGTCTGTGAGTCCGCCATTGTTGAAAGAATGAGCATTTGCAGAGGAGAGAAAGAAAGAAAAGATGAAGATGGGTAGTAGTAGTAGTAGTAGTAGTGAGAGAAGATTGAAGTAGAAATGGTGGTTAGTCTTGTTCTTCATCACATATGAGACATTGATATCTCTCTCTCTATTTTTTTTTTTTTTTTTTTTTCTGGGTTCAGGTTGGGAACGTGAGATGCTAACGGGAGGGAGATCTAAGGAGAGAGAAGGAGATTTGGGTTGGATGTTTGGGGAGACAGAAAATGAAGAGGGATTTTTCTAGGGATTTTGGGGGAGCGTGTGAGAAAGAGAGGAGAGAGAGAGACAGCTAAATCACAGCTCAAAGGCCACCACCACCAGATTCTATCACTTTTTTCTCTCTTTCAAACTTTCTCGGTCATCATTTTCTTTCCTTGCAGCATGAGATAGAAAATTAGCTTTTTTTATACTGTTTCAAACCATTCCAATTCAACGACCCCAAGTTAAAGGTTAGAACAAAAACTGAAATAAAAAATAATTGTCGAAATAATAATTAATTGATATTTATTAGTATTTAATGACCACCTAATTTAGGGTTAGTTTGACATAAACTAAATAATATAAAAAGTCAAAAAATTACTATCTTATTTAAATCACATCACTTATCTAACACATCATATCTAACTCAACCCAAATCTTAATCCAACCCATATTAGCCAAACCAACCTATATAGGTCAATAAATTAAAAAGTGCACTTTTTAAAAATATTCCAACCAACCCTTATTAACAACGTGGATTTTTTAGCCGCTAGTCGGGGCGGCAATGCACCCGGCTACACGGGTTCGGACAGTTACCAGTTATTAATTTCAAATTTTTTTCTTTTGATTGAGAGGTAAGAATCGTTTATTTTTAAAAACTTCTTAAAAGTTGATTTTTTAATTTTTTTAAATTATCACCATGCTTTGTTTCAGTTTTTCAAAAACTGTTTTTATAAAATTTTACTTTCTTATTTTTTGTATTTTTTTGTTTTTACTATTTTTTTAATATTTTAAGTAATTTTTTTTATTTTTTAGACATACCTAACATAAATATACCTAAAAAGTAAAAAATTTGTGAAAAAAACCATAAAAATGATAAGTTTATTTGAATAACAATAATTGAATTTTAGTATCATTTGAATTTGTTCAATTTCTTACCATGTTTGGTTTTAAAAACTTGAGTTCATTTTTCAGGAATTTGAATTTTTTATTTTTTGAATTTTTTTGTTCTTATTTTTTTAAAAAATATTTTACGCAATTTTTTTAGATACATCTAATTTAAATATGCTTAAAAATATAATATTTGTGGGAAAAAATTCAACAACTACAAAAAATTCAAAAAAAAATATGAAAATTAAATACATTTTCGTATTTTGTTGCGTTTAATGAATTTTTAAAAGATTTTTGTACAAATTTTTTACTTTTTAAGTATATTAAGGTTAAATGAATTGAAAATATAAATATTGATTAAGGATTAAAAAATTGTTTTTTGCTTTTTTTACTTTTTTAATCTAAAAGATAAAAAAATGAATGAAAATATTTTAAAAATTATTAAAAATATGAATTAAAATTTAAAAAAATTATTCTCAAAAATTGGAAACGAAGTGCGACAAGTTGATTAAAAGTTAATTTTTGACTTTTAATCCATTTTAAGTCACATCATCTCTTACATTTTTTATTTTTAAAAAAAAATTAAAAATTAAAAATTAACTTTTAACTAATTTCTCAAAATAGGCCTTTGCACTACCCCAAAAGTCATCAAAATAGTTACAATTTAAATTTATGAAAAAATTTATATTTTTAATTATTAAAATTAAAATGATTTATAATTGATTTGACTTTCCAAAAAAAAATCTACAGTGCCTTGCATTTTTTCCTACAATTTAAGTACTTTTCATATATTTTAAATTATTTTTTATTTACTATTTTTACAAAAACACACATTTTAATTTATTTTTTTAAACCTATATGAAAGATGTCAAGTTTTGGCCAGCCAAGTGTGTGTGTTTGGAATTGCAATGGAGCTGCTAAGGCAACAGTAGTGCTCAATATTAGTGTCAGATGCTAAATGTGTTAATTGCAACCAACGTTCTAGCCAGCAAGGGAGAGAGAGGGAACTGTCGTGGGTCATCCAGTCAGTCGTCCTTCTAAACGTTCAAACCCGTCAAGTAATAAAATAAAATAAAATAAAATTTGAGTTTGATTGGTTGACCAGCCGGACGTCCAACTGTCTCCACACCAGCTGCTGCAAACTGCAAATTATTTGTATATATATATATTTTTAACACACACTTTAACATATCTATTTTATCACCATTCGCTCACTAAATTAACAAACTCTTAACACATATTTTTGAGTTCTACTTTTATTACTTTTTGTCATATAACACATCTTTAACACATCTATTGTGGATCTTAACACACATTTTTGAGTCATACTTTTACTAGCATATCACCCGTGCTACGCACGGATTATGTTTACAGTTATCTATATATGTGAATTGTGATTTTTAAATATCTTCTTTTTTTTTTTAAATGTCTTCTTTTTTTTTCTTTTTTATATTATATTAAAGTTTAATATTTTGATAATAATCATGTGTTAGACTTTTCAAGGAATTAAATGTCTTTTTTTTATTATATTATATTAAAGTTTAATATTTTGATAATAATCATATGTGTTGGACTTTTCAAGAATTTTTTTTTATGAGGGATAATAATCATACGTGTTGGGACTTTCCAAGGAATTTATGTGTTGGATTTCAAAGAATTTTTTTAATACTTGTTCTTAATGCATTGAAGTGTTATTATGAGGGTAAGACTTGAGGATTGGGAGAAGTTAATAAATGCTAAGGTGTTTTTTTTTTTAAATCAAATATCTTCCTTTTTTTTTAAATATCTTCTTTTTTTCCTTTTTTATATAAAAGATTGGGAAAATTACATATACCCCCCTCGAGGTTTAGTAAAATTACAGTTATCCCCTTGAGGTTTGAGAAATTACAGATACCCCTCTAAAGGTATTATTTGTATAACAAATTAAGGGGCAAATTGTTATGAAAATATAAACCTCATGAGGGTATCTGTAATTTTCGAAACCTCAGGGGTATCTGTAATTTAGCTAAACCTCGAGGGAGGTATATGCAATTTGCCCTATATTAAAGTTTAATATTTTGATAATAATCATACGTGTTAGATTTTTCGAGGAATTAAATGTCTTTTTTTTTATTATATTATATTAAAGTTTAATATTTTGAGAATAATCATATGTGTTGGACTTTTCAAGAATTTTTTTTTATACTTGTTCTTAATGCATTAAAATGTTATTATGAGGGATAATAATCATATGTGTTGGGACTTTTCAAGGAATTCATGTGTTGGATTTCAAAGAATTTTTTTTATGCTTGTTCTTAATGCATTAAAGTGTTATTATGAGGGTAAGACTTGTGGATTGGGATAAATTAATAAATGCTAAGGTTTTTTTTTTAAATCAAAAAATCAAGAAATTTAGATTGGGAGATTGGAGCTCCCACAAGGCTTAGGGTTAAAAATCCCTTTTGCTTAATATATAGTACTAGCCTATCACCCGTGCTATGCACGGAATAATTATAGATATTTATATTTGTTTTAATTTTTTTAATATATAAATTATGTTTTTTAAGATTTTTTATAAAAATAATTTAACAATCTTATCATTAACCATAGTGTACATGAGAAATTAAAAAAAGGGCAAATTACATATACACCCCTCCAGGTTTGGTTAAATTACAGATACCCCCCTGAGGTTTCGGAAATTACATCCCGCCCCCTGAGGTTTGTATTTTCATAACGATTTACCCCCTGAGGTTTATATTTCATAACAAATTACCCCCTAATTTCTTATGCAAATATAGCATTCAGGGGGGAATTCGTAATTTCTCAAACCTCAGGGGGGTATCTGTAATTTTTTCAAACCTGGAGGGGTGTATATGTAATTTGCCCTTAAAAAAATTACTGCAGTAACTATGCACGGGCTATATTTATAATTATTTGTATAAGGGAATTTTAAATGCTAATCAGAGATTTTGACCAAATCAATAAATGCAGGCATGTGGATTGGAAAAAGTTAATAAATGCTGATCAGGGAATTTTGACCAAATTAATAAATGCTGAGGGTTTTTTTTTTAAATAGAAAATTTAGAAAATTAAGATTGAAAAATTGGAGCTTCCACAAGGCTTGGGGTTTAGAAACTTCATTTTTCTTAATATATTTACAATTATCTATATATGTGAATTGCGATTTTTAAATGTCTTTTTTTTTAAATGTCTTTTGTTTTCCCTTTTTTATATTATATTAAAGTTTAATATTTTGATAATAATCATATGTGTTTGACTTTTCAATAAATTAAATGTCTTCTTTCTTTTATTATATTATATTAAAATTTAATATTTTTATAATAATCATATGTGTTTGACTTTTCAAGAAATTAAATGTCTTTTTTCTTTTATTATATTATATTAAAGTTTAATATTTTGATAATAATCATATGTGTTTGACTTTTCAAGAAAATTTTTTTTTGCTTGTTTTTAATGCACTAAAATATTATTATGAGGGATAATAATCATATCTGTTGGGACTTTTCAAGGAATTCATATGTGTTAGATTTTAAATAATTTTTTTTTATGCTTGTTCTTAATGCATTAAAGTATTATTATGAGGGTAAGATTTGGGGGTTGAGAGAAGTTAATAAATGCTAAGGGTTTTTTTTTATAAATAAAAAAATCAGAAAATTTAGATTGGGAGATTGAAACTCCCACAAGACTTGAGGTTAAAAACCCCTTTTACTTAATATATAGTATAGATATAGATAGATAGATATATCTTTTTATTTTTATTTTTATTTTTGTGTGGTTTCTATTCGGATATTTTTTTTCAATTTATTTAAGATGGAGTTGTGGGTATCTTTTTTTTTTAATTTAATTTATCTGTGATTTCCATTTGTTTTTAATTTTTATTATTTAGGTAAGTTATGATGTGAGTTAAATATGTGATAGACATGTGAGTTTTATTGATTTAAAGTTTATCTAAAGTTTTTTTTTTTTAGTTTTTTTTGTTATGTTATAATATAATATATAAAATATAGGTTGTTAAAAATCCCCTTTTGCTTAATATATAGTATAGATAGATGATCATATGTGTTGGACTTTTCAAGAAATTTTTTTTATACTTGTTTTTAATGCATTAAAGTATTATTATGAGCGACAATAATCATATGTGTTGGGACTTTTCAAAAAATTCATATGTATTGGATTTCAAAGAATTTTTTTTTATGTTTGTTCTTTATGCATTAAAGTGTTATTATGAGGGTAAGAGTTGGGAAAAGTTAATAAATGCTAAAAAAAAAAAATTTAATCAAAAAATCAAAAAATTTGGATTGGGT